TATGTTCAGACTTTTAGTTCATTATGTTAAGACTTGTAGTTCACTACGTTAAGACTTGAAGTTCACTACGTTCAGACTTGTAGTTCACTATGCTAAGAATTGTAGTTCAATATGTTCAGACTTGTAATTCACTACGTTAAGACTTGTAGTTCACTACGTTACGATTAGTAGTTCACTACGTTAAGACTTATAATTCACTCTGTTGAGACTTGTAATTCACAACGTTAAGAAATGTGTTTCAATATGATAAGACCTGTAGTTCACTTCGTTAAGACTTGTAGTTCACTACGTTAAGACTTGTAGTTCACTATGTTCAGACTTGTAGTTCACTATGCTAAGAACATTAGTTCAATATGTTCAGACTTGTAGTTCACCATGTTCAGCCTTGTAGTTCATTATGTTTAGACATGTAGTTCACTATTTTGAGACTTGTAGTTCATTATGTTCAGACTTGTCGTTCATTATGTTAAGACTTTTAGTTCATTATGTTAAGACTTGTAGTTCACTACGTTAAGACTTGTAGTTCACTACGTTAAGACTTGTAGTTCACTATGCTAAGAATTGTAGTTCAATATGTTCAGACTTGTAATTCACTACGTTAAGACTTGTAGTTCACTACGTTAAGATTAGTTGTTCACTACGTTAAGACGTATAGTTCACTATGTTGAGGCTTGTAGTTCACAACGTTAAGAATTGTGTTTCAATATGTTAAGACCTGTAGTTCACTTCGTTAAGACTTGTAGTTCACTACGTTAAGACTTGTAGTTCATTATGTTCTGACTTGTAGATCATTATGTTAAGGCTTGTAGTTCATTATGTTAAGACTTGTAGTTGACTAAGTTAAGACTTGTAATTCACTACGTTTAGACTTTAAGTTCACTATGTTCAGACTTGTAGTTCACTACGTTCAGATTTGTAGTTCATTATGTTAGGTCTTGTAGTTCACTACGTTAAGACTTGTAGTTCATGATGTTCTGACTGGAAGTTCATTATATTAATACTTGTAGTTCACTACGGTAAGAACTGTAGTTCACTATGTTAAGACCTGTAGTTCACTACGTTAAGACGTCTAGTTCACTAGGTGAAGACTTGTAGTTCACTATGTTTAGACTTGTAGTTCACTACGTTTAAACTGGTAGACCACTATGTTAAGACTTGTAGTTCACTACTTTAAGACTTGTAGTTCATTATATTCTGATTTGTAGTTCATTATATTAATACTTGTAGTTCACTGCGTTAAGACTTATAGTTCACTATGTTGAGACTTGTAGTTCACTTCGTTAAGACTTGTAGTTCACTACGTTAAGCCTTGTAGTTCACTAAGTTAAGACTTGTAATTCACTACGTTTAGACTTTTAGTTCACTATGTTCAGACTTGTAGTTCATTATGTTAAGACTTTTAGTTCATTATATTAATACTTGTAGTTCACTACGTTAGGAATTGTAGTTCACTATGTGAAGACTTGTAGATCACTACGTTAAGACGTCTAGTTCACTAGGTGAAGACTTGTAGTTAACTATGTTAAGACTTGTAGTTCACTATGTGAAGACTAGTAGTTCACTACGTTAAGACTTTTAGTTCATTATGTTCAGACTTTTAGTTCACTTTGTTCAGACTTGTAGTTCACTATACTAATAATTGTAGTTCAATATGTTCAGACTTGTAGTTCACTACGTTACGATTAGTAGTTCACTACGTTAAGACTTATAGTTCACTATGTTGAGACTTGTAGTTCACAACGTTAAGAATTGTGTTTCAATATGTTCAGACTTGTAGTTCACTATGCTAATATTTGTAGTTCACTACGTTAAAACTTGAAGTTCACTATGTTGAAACTAGTAGTTCACAACGTTAAGAATTGTGTTTCAATATGTTAAGACTTTAAGTTCACTACGTTAAAACTTTTAGTTCATTATGTTCTGACTTGTAGTTCATTATGTTAAGACTTGTATTTCAGTATGTTAAGACATGTAGTTCCCTAAGTTAAGACTTGTTATTCACTACGTTTAGACTTGTAGTTCACTATGTTAATACTTGTAGTTCACTACGTTCAGATTTGTAGTTCATTATGTTAGGTCTTGTAGTTCACTACGTTAAGACTTGTAGTTCACTATGTTAAGACTTGTAGTTCACGACGTTAAAACTTGTAGTTCACTATGTTGATACTTGTAGTTCACTATGTTGAGACTTGTAGTTCAATATTATAAGATTTGTAGTCCACTATGTTGAGACTTGTAGTTCATTATGTTGAGACTTGTAGTTCACTATGTAAAGACTTGTATTTCACGATGTTTAGACTTGTAGTTCACTATGTTCAGACTTGTAGTTGACTATGCTAAGAATTGTAGTTCACTATGTTCAGACTTGTAGTTCACTATGTTGAGACGTGTAGTTCAATATGTTAAGACTTGTAGTTCACTATGTTCAGGCTTGTAGTGCACTATTTAAAGACTTGTAGTTCACTACGTTCAGACTTGTAGTTCAATATGTTTAAACTTGTAGTTCACTACGTTTAGACTTGTAAGTCACTATGTCAATATTTATAGTTCATTATGTTAAGACTTGTAGTTCACTATGTTGAGACTTGTAGTTCACTACGTTCAGATTTGTAGTTCATTATATTAGGTCTTGTAGATACTACGTTGAGACTTGTAGTTCACTACGTTGAGACGTGTAGTTCACTACGTTCAGACTTGTAGTTCACTACGTTCAGACTTGTAGTTCACTACGTTCAGACTTGTAGTTCACTACTTTAAGACTTGTAGTTCACTACGTTCAGACTTGCAGTTCACTATGTTCAGATTACAACTAACTGCACTAGAGTCCTTCCAGGGATCTAAAATATTGTTAAAATATTTATGAATAGCTGATAAGTCTGAAATGAATGTATCTATTTGTATAAAAAATGCCAAGAATTTAAAAGAACTTAATCAATAACTGCATACTCGTCATATAAAGCATTATAATATAGATCAGTTGAATTTTTCTACCTTTTAATCCAGAAACTGCAGGTTTTTCAAATATTTAGTTTTGATATGCCTTATATGTCAATAATTCTGTGTGTGTTTTCATTCTGATAATTAGAACATTTTTTATCAGCTTTTCATTCGTTATACAGAACCCATTATCAAAAGCAATACTTTAATAGCCATTTCTTGGATTCTAAGTAAAAATCTAACTCAATAGTAAAATACACATATCCAATACGGGTTTGAAGCAATAAACATCGGAATAATCAGATTCATTTAAACTGTGATGGCTACATATAATACAAAATATTAAACTATCGTAGGCAATTTAGTTTCCTAACAGGCAAATTCCTACTTTTCACGGCAATTTTAACTTTCCTCAAAATTGATTGATGACCTATGGATTGAATCAGCGTTTCAGAGGAACTTATTAACCATAATTGTGTTACATGCAGAATATCTGTAAATGGATTGTTAACAATCGAATTCAACGGCAAAATAGGTAAGTACGATTCCTGATGATCTTGCGTCACTAAAACAGACACCAATAAATAATACAATATTAAAAACAATTCAACGATTAAATATTTTTATTGTTAAACTTCAAAAACTCTAAAAAGACCAAAAGTACAAAAGAACATTATTATACTTAATGGAATGCATTCTGAAGTAACATAAAGATTGGATATTAAAATGTCACGAAGATTTCCATCAGCTAAACATACATTTCTTAGACCAACGGATAGTTTGACATATCAAAGAAGTGATGCTACATGATATAATAAACGTGCAATATCTCGTATCGAATATGTTATTATCTATATATATATATATTTGCATAAGAGACTAAGATGTCTTCATGTTAATTGTATCGTCATGCCTTGCAATTGTACATATTCTAATTGTTATGATTCAGGAACTTAGTTACTAGGGATGGGGTGAAATTTATAAGCAATACTGATAGTATGTGTGTTTTGGCTATAAGAGGGAATCTAAATCATTCTGAAGTACGTATAGCACGATTTTACAATCAAACTACTGCTAGTTGGGCTACAATCCTCCGGCTCAAGGGGTCGTACCAATTTCATATTTAGAAAATGGAATAATCCTGCCACATTCATATTCAAAAACAAATATGGCTACCATTCGTGCATCCTTTAAGGAGTAGTAGGAATTTGAAATAAAACATGCCAACCTCATTTATAAACATTTCAAACCAATTTCTTGTAAGTGGTTTTGATGATTACAAATAAGATTTTTTTGGTATTCAATGGAAAACTACAACTTTACAAAATTTGATTTGTGTAATATTTGTATACACAAGTTTGTAACGAAGCATATACTGATCGCCACAAAGAATCCGATACTAGTTGTGAAACTCTCGGTGTTAACATAGATATGTTCGATATCTGGAACTGAAATAGACACAAATCGTTCACGGTTAAGATGCACATCTTTTGAAATTGAAATAACAGATATTCTCTCTTTGTCATAAAATGTTGTACAACCATTGGGGTTAAAGTTATTTATATCAGCGTGTTGGAAAAATTCGAGAAGATTTCGTTTCACCGTCGTAATGATCAGTATGTAAATTCTATTTTCACTTTCAAATAACTTCGAGATGTAGTTTCAACATAAAAACAGCCTCGCTACCCCTCTGCTAGTATTTCAATTATTAATTGAGATTAGAAAAGTAAAATGGGCTATCAAAAATATACATAATATATAAATAATAAGCGAACAATCTGATTTAAAAAACCAGGTCTTTAATTCCACTCCGATACCTTGGAACGTAGAGTATCGGAATGTAATTAAAGATCTGGTTTTGATCAGATTGATGAGCGAAAGAAGATCAATGATATGTTGTAATAAGATATACATATTTATATAAACAAACTGTTCAGTAACACAGTACTATCCTGCCGGACATATAAATCTAAAGTTTAATAATGTTGTTTCCTCTACTTGAATTCGGATGTATAACACAATGGCCATAAAACAAATAATGAAGTCCGATGTCTATGCACTCTTTAAAAATGCAACGTTGTTTTACATGTAGTATAGAGGCCGCTACGTTCTACGGCCTTGACGACGATGTGTATTAGAACCGTTTCCTGGTCGACTATTTTATCTGGGATTCCAAGTACTAAATGGTTCTCCGTGGTGTACTGCCATTGTACGATGTCCACGCCTCCAAGCGTTCCTGCTGACACTTCGTAGAAATGAATATCGACTGTGTCAGAAAACACATCTGACCAATCTACACTCAGCGTGTTCTTAGTTGACGTAACGGTTTCAAATTTGTCTTCTGAAATTCAAAAATTCAAAATCCATCAAATGTTTTGCTTGGCGATTTGTATCAATCTTGTTTTTTCCCCTTATTTTATTAATTAAGAATGGTCAGTACAGATACAAAGCGGTACAGTATCTTATAGGTTTTATAAATGGAAACGTTAATATATTATATGAATTGAACATGTGAAAATGTCCTGATATATTTCCAAAAGACA